CTAAATGGATGAAACATTACGCTGAAAGCGGATCGATAACCTCCTGGTTTCAGTAATGCTGCTCTAAGTGGAGCTGCTTCTCTCTGGTGGGGGGCGCGCTCCATTTCCAGCCCACATCATCACCCCTCCACCGCCATGCGGGGCAGATGGTGGGAGGGGTTTGGGTCTCATGCTCCATCCTGATGCAGCCCTGCTGACCTCAAGTCATGACCTATGACTTCTAACTCGCTAACTGAGGCCGGAGTTTCTCTGATCTTAGACTGAATCTCCACTCCATCTCTCTGGTTGCCATGGTAACAACTGAATTCATCGCTACGTCCTCCTGGCTCTGGTGTGACTGTTTTTGTTTTTATAATGTTACATTTGATGGTTAGCATGAAGGTTCTTTAGCTACAAGCTAATCACCAAACCCCGTCCTTGGACCTTTTTTAAAGTGACGGTATCATTTATAATCAACTTTATTTTATATTTCCATCATGTTTTAATGTTTTCCCTTGAGTGTTGCTTTGATTCTTTCATGTTGGAGTAGCTGTTAAAATGTCTGGGTGGATCTAGCCCCGCATTTGAGGCGCAGCTCCTCCCCCACTCAGCTCCTTCAGACTAGCTAGCAGCAGTTAGCAAACCGGTGGTGGAGCTGCTGCTCATAGAAATGCTGATAAAAACGTTGTTAAAGGGTTAATAGAGGAGTCACGTTGGGACGACTTCCTGGAGGCGGAGTTTCAGAAAGAGCAGGAGCTTCTTAAAGGGATAGAGACCCAATTTCAATGTCAAATTTCTTTTAAGTCACATTAGGGAGATACACCAGTGTTATAGCAACTGAAGGTAACATTGGCTCCCTGGACTCACCTGCTGGTCCGTTCGTCCAGACCTGGATCTTCATCTTGTCTCTGTCTTCCTCCACTAAACTTTCTGAAGCTTCAGGTTTCATCTTGTCTCTGGGCTAAACTCTTTCTGTCCTGGTTTGATCTGCTCTCCGCGTCCCGCTGTAAATCTTCCTCTCCAACTTCATCTTCATCACATGTTGCCGGTAACGCGGCGCCGGATCGGCCCACGCTAGAGGCTTGAGATGAACTTTATTGACCCCAGAGGGAGAACCGGGTCACAGCAGCAGAACGGAGAACGCTGCTGTCAGATGGCGGTAATGAGAACACATTACCCACAATCCTCCTCTCTCTCTCTTCGGCTCGGAGCGGGAAGGCTGAGGGACAAGTGAGAAGGATGTTGGAAAGTCTGACCTTCTGCTGCAGCCCACGCCAAGATGGCCGACATGTTGATTCAGATTCATCCTGAACGCTCACTGGGAGCAGAAACATCGTTTCATCGATGGATGAAAATCACATTTCATCCACCTGATGCCGCTCCGCCTCGTGATGCAGCTCCGCCTCGTGATGCCGCTCCGCCTCGTGATGCCGCTCCGCCTCGTGATGCCGCTCCGCCTCGTGATGCTGCTCCACGGCTCAGAGCTCCAGACAGGAAGTTTGTTCCTCCAGCTGAGAGACTCTTCATCAGCTTCCTGCTGGTCAAATGTTTGTTTCAGGAAGTTCTTGAGTTCCAACTCCCAGTTTCATCCATCAGATCCATGTTTTTGTTTGTGATGGTAGGATGGAAAAGTTTCTTTGTTCTTCAGATCTAATGGTTGCCATGGAGACCAGGTTGTCACAGACCCGGCTGATTCGTCACCACTGACTCTGTTTTCAGACGTAGAAGTTGGAGACGCTGCCACCTGCAGGTGGGAGTTGGCTTTGCGTAAACTGAATGTTTCTGTGATTCTGACCATAAGTGTGTTGAATTTCCACAAATCGTGAAAAACGTGAAGACTGGATCAGTTCCATCCAGATCATGGAGCAGCAGAGCAGTCCCACAGCATCATGCTGCCACCACCATGTTTCATTGTGTTCTGTTAGTTGAAACTGGGCTCAGATTCTTCATGAAGGCCCGTCTTTGTGTTCTTCGAGTCAGCAGTGGTTCTGGTTCATGGAGTTTTTCTGATGGTTTGATCATGACCTTTGACCTCAACTGAGGTCTGACATTTTTCTGTTCGGTTCTGGTTCTGATGTGTTTCGTGCTGAATGAACCCAGGTTTGTCCTGGTGCTGTTGGGTCTGTAGAATCGGGTCAGAACCAAACAGCCAAGTGGACGGTTATTTACCCACAAACATCTTTATTGACAGAATGAATTAACGGTGTTGACTCTGGATCCGATCGATGGAACCACGCGACCCAGCAGAGAGAGAGGCGGGACGTGTTCTGGTTCTGATCCGACACCAGAGAAGGTTCTGCTGCTCCTGTGGGGAAAGATCCAGTAAGGTTCAGTCGGTTTGAGTCGTTTTATTCTGCCTAGCAACAAGGCAAAGTTAACTCTGATTGGATGAAGAGCTGAGTTCAGATTTAAGGTTTTATTTTCCATCCAGAACTCATTTTGCAGTTATTTGGTCGGTCGGGTGACCTCTGACCCACTAGGACCCGGTTTGTTTGGATTCTGCAGCCAGTAAACATCAGAGTCCAACTAGTTTCTGAATTATCAGAGGAAAATCAGCAGCTGCACTGCAAAAACACAGAATATTACCTAATATTTTGTCTAGTTTGTTTTGCAAATGTCTTAGTTCACTTGGAATAAGACAAAATTTATAAGAAACTCTTCAGCAATTTTTAGGAGCTTGTTTTAGGTTAATAAATTAGAATACAATAATTCACAAAACTAGGAGTTATTGATCTAATAATTGTATAATCAATTTTTAAAAATCTTTCCATCATAACGTTTTTCCCTCATCACAAACAAACCTGGAACGTTGCTTTGATTCTTTCATGCATGTTTGGGCATCATTTCATCTCCATGGCAACCATTCAGCTGTTCCTTCCACTCAGTTCCTTCAGACTAGCCAGCAGCAATTAGCAAACAGCTGGTGGAAGGGCACATCAAGGCCTTAAGTCAAAAGTCATATTTAATATGATTACTGCCACTTTAATATTTTATTTACAACATTTTTCCAGTTTTATAAGAATAACAAATGGAGCTGATGCTTTTTAAAAAAAAATCAATATTTAGCTATTAATAACTTAAATAAAGCTCCTGTATTTTGCTGAAAAGTTACTTATAAGTTAGTTTTATCTTCAAGGTTTTTGCACTTTAAGTAGAGTAAAAATGTCTCGGTAAGGTTTTGTGTTTTTGCAGTGTAAAGTTGGTGAAAGCCCCAGAGACGGACAGAGTTTCTCTCCGTATCGATCCAGGCGGTGGCTGGCCCGGCAGCGGCCCACGCCTGCGGTCCCGCCGGGCTCCTGGTCCCCTCGGTCGCCTCCGCCCCCTCAGGCTCTATTCCTGTAGCCGCAGCGACCCCCCTCCCCACCCTGCTGCTGCTATAAATCAGCGGGTCGCAGCTGCTGAAGCCAGCAGGACTTAGCGCTGCGCGGAGCGCCGTGAAGCGTGTGAACCGCAGCCAGCCGCGGCTTGGCGGCGCTCCGCCGGCGGCGCTCGGTAACGAGTTGACAGCGTGACCACGGCAGTCAGCGGCTCCTCCCGGCGCAGCGCTGCGGGAAACTGACTCTCTGGACCGTAAATGTGTTTGTTTAGCGGCTGCCGCTCAGTTCCCGCCTAATAAACCAGAAATAATAAACCAGTTATTACTGCTGGTGCTGCCAGGGCCGGTCCCACCCGGCCTGGTGCCCCGGGCAGCACGCTCCATCACTTCATTATAAACACACTCAGGATTTGATTTGAAATCAAATGAAAGTCACCAGAATAATAATAAGGTGCAACATTCTGTTCATCCTGCAGGTAAAGGAAACGAAACTAATCATTTAAATAAACTCCAGTCGTCGCTCCGTCTTTAAGGCGCTGTCGGCCCGTTCTGCGGCGCCGACCCGCCTCGTGGTTCTGCTGCTCCTCCAGAAGCCGGGTCCGGTTTGAACAGAGAACCTGAAGGTTCTGGACCCGGGTCTGAAGAACAGGCGGTTCTGATCAGACGCTCCAGCTGCGGGTCGGACCTTGTTCTCCTGAACGGTGGACTGAGTGGTTCTGTTCTGACAAAGTTCCCTGAAGCAAGGCAGCAGGACACGACCTCACCGGACCGCATGGAACCCAGCAGAACCTCCAGGTGGTTCTGGACGGTTCTGATGGCTGCTGCCAATGTGATTCATAATCAGATTATCTTAATAGAACTGAGCTGATCTGCAGTTTTATTCTGACTTTGTCCAGATTAGATTAGTTGGGTCAGATTACTAGGATCTAACCTGAACCGGGCTCAGGGGAACCGGATCAAAGCGGCTGAACAGAACCGACACACGGAGACCGAGCCGCTCCTCCCGCTGTTCAGTAGGTTAGACTGGGATTGGATTAGGACGTTTGGAATTAGATTAGCAGGTTAAACCCGACTGAGGCGAGCTGCTGGAATCAGATTACGGCTCTGATGAACTCTGCTGTCCATCTAACCGGATTACCTTCCTCAGTGATGAAGAGGAGAGGTCAGAGGTCGTTCTGGGAGGAACCTCCGGAACATTCCCAGGAAAACACGACTTCCCCGTCTCCCGGCGGAGAAACCGTCTCCCACGGCAACCAGCGCCAGGACACGGTTGCTATGGCGATGCAGGTTTCTCTCCTCCTGCGGGAGTTTACCTGTGTGTTATAATTAGAGGTGTGTGTGTTTGTGTGTGTGATGCAGGTCGAAATGTGGAACTTCAAAACATGAGAATAAAACTTAAATTTGTCCAAAATCACACAATAAGTTAGTACGTCAACGAATAATACATAAATATATAAATATAAATGCAAACTACAAACAAATACAGAAATGAGACAAACTGCTGCGGCTCAACCAGTTTATAAAATGTTAAAATGTTTCTGAAGAACTCAAACATGAGCAAAAATAAGAATCTTTATTTAGTATGAAAGGAAATATTTATTTTACCAAAATATCCTGTCACATAAGAAGCAGTAAAAACTCAGAGCTGCAACTTTGTGATTTTATCACAAACATTTTTATTTAATCAACGACCGACGACCGGAGCTCTGGTTTTAACTTTCATGTTCCCAAAACTCCGTGTCCATCAGAGGACAGAGAACCATGTCTCAGAGGACAGGTCGTCTCCTCCGTCTCCTTTGTCTCCTCCGTCTCCTCTGTCTCCTCCGTCTCCTTTGTCTCCTCTGTCTCCTCCGTCTCCTTTGTCTCCTCTGTCTCCTTTGTCTCCTTCGTCTCCTCACTGCTGTAAACTTCTGGTCTCCTTCAGAGTCCCACCATGAAGGTGACGGGTCAGGTTCTGTGGTTCTGGTCCACTTTTAGACTGGAAGTGTTTGAAGCTTGGTGTCTCCACCGCAGCAGACTGTGTGTGTGTGTGTGTGTGTGTGTGTGTGTCGGGTGTTAGTGGCCCCTGCTGAGGGGCCTCCTTCACTGTGAGTGCTGCTTCTGAAGTGGCGTCCCTCCATTAACACAAACGGAGGTGTGTGTCGGAGATAACCGCTAGCTGTCATTCTGCGACACTTCGCGCACACACACACACACGCTGAGGTTGGTGGTGACGGGAAGCACCCCAGCCATCACACACACTCTCTCACATGCCTCCATGTTGACTCACTCATCAGGAGACGGATGGATGGAAGTAGAGGAATGACACACTCTTCACGGTGTGTGTGTGTGTGTGTGTGTGTGTGTGATGAGTTCATCCTTCAGTCACTCTGGACTGGAACATCAGCAGATCCGTCTTGGTTTGATCCAATCTGCATCGATCCGTGTACCTGTCCCATTTAGCTCAGATTTATAGTTTATTTTCACACCAATGAGTCAGAGCTGCAGATCGCACACATGCTGGACGCGGCTCTGCAGATCGCACACATGCTGGACATTCCTTTACAGATGGTCAGTGAATCGTCTCCAGCTCAGTCGCACTGGACGTCTGTAAACATGATGCTGCATTTCTGCTGCTGAAGCAGAGATGCAGCATTCAGCTTCTATTCTCCACATATCTGGAACAAACTTCTAGAAAACTGCAAATCAGCCGAAACACTGAGTTCCTTTAAATCCAGAATAAAACCCAGCTGGTTAGAGATGCTTCTGATTCATAATAAGTTTTACATGTTGGTGCGTAACGATGATTTTCATGATAGGATTCTACAAAACGTTTGTTTCTGGTTTCTCAAACTGGTGACTTTATAATGTTTTTCTAACTTTTTATTTTTGTGTTTTTATGATATGAAGGACTTTGAACTGCCTGAAATGTGCAGAACTAATAAAGTGATTGGTTGATTGATTGATTGGCTTATTGACTGGTTGGTTGGTTGGTTGGTTGACTGGTTGGTTGGTTGGTTGGATGGTTGGTTGGTTGGTTGGCTGGTTGGTTGGTTTACTGATTGGTTGGCTGGTTGGTTGGTTGGTTGGTTGGTTGGTTGGTTGGTTGGTTGGTTGGTTGGTTGGTTGGTTGGTTTACTGATTGGTTGACTGGTTGGTTGGTTGGCTGGTTGGCTGGTGGGTTGGCTGGTTGGTTGGTTGGTTGGTTGGTTGGTTGGTTGGTTGGTTTACTGTTTGGTTGGTTGGTTGGTTGGCTGGTTGGTTGGTAGCGAGGTTAGCTT